ATTATTTTCATATTAATAATTAATGTTAAACTAAATATTTGTTTGTCTTTCAATATGCTAATAGTCGGCCGAAGAGCTATCCAAAGAACAGGTTCAAAGTAAGTCATACTTATTTAATCAATATATCTATTATGAATACCCCTATAGTATGTCTACAAAAGGGATAAACAATTTTAATCGTTTCAAAAGTTACTTAATTAATTTGGAAGTTCTTACAACTTTTTAATTTATTTTAATAAATTATTTAAAAATTAAATTTTCTGTTTGTATCAAACAATAAATTGATTTTTATAAAATTTTCCCAAACATTACTTTGTTTTCAGGAATAATAAAGAATTTTTAAATAACTAAATTGAGTTATTTTTGATTTCGTATAACTCTAATATATTATAATTATAAAAACAAGCTAATGCTTTTATAAATTAAGATCTTAGTAATTAAATTATAAGAGATTATCAGAATATTAATAATTTAATCCAGGTAATTCTAATTTTGCACTTAAATGACTATTTTGTTAAAATACATTAATTGTAATATTAACTACAGATTCACCATAATTTAATATTTGAATTTAAACATAATAATCCATTGATTTCAATGTGTTATGCGTGACAAGTGTTGCACTCAATACAACTCATTCACTGCTCTATAAATAAATCCCTTTTCTTGAAAAGAATTTAACGAATAATATTAAAACTTATATTAAGATATTCTACAGTTTGTAGTAAACATAACATTGACGTTAGATATAGAGAATTATTTACATCTTCATGAGATTCAAATTTTGGATCAATCAATAAATCTATAATCAATTATTTAAAGATAATTGTATGAATATATCAAGATACATTATATATTAAAAACATAATTAATATTAAATATGGTTTGTGTTTTTAGCCCTCCTCTTAGCCTTCTGTTTGTTTTTATTTCTCTCTTTAATTACTGTATTAGTAATGAAAATATTTCATTTTAAAATTTATTTTTCAAGTGCTTAGAAAAGCATTTGATATGTTTGATAGGGAGAAGAAGGGCCACATCCACACCAATATGGTCTCAACAATATTGAGAACATTGGGGCAGAGCTTTGAAGAGGGAGACCTACAGGCGCTCATCGCTGAAATCGATGCCGATGGTAAGATTTGATATATCGTCAAATATTGAATGACCATCAAATATCATTTTATTTATATAATGTATGGATATTTTATGTTGATTAGTTTAAATTGGTCAACATATTATTTTTTGTTGTCAGTTAAAAAACGTAAAGATATACAATTGTATGGAATATATGAAATTGATATTTAAACAACTGTGAAATTTGTTACGTTTGTTTCAAATAAATACAAAATCAAAACACAATTAAATGTATTAATGATATGAATGAATGTTAGGAAGCGGTGAACTGGAATTCGATGAGTTTCTCGCTCTGACGGCTCGATTCTTAGTAGAAGAGGACGCGGAGGCGATGCAGGAGGAGTTACGCGAGGCTTTCCGTATGTACGACAAGGAAGGCAACGGATTTATTCCCACCTCAGCCTTAAGAGAGATCTTGCGAGCCCTCGACGACAAACTAACTGAGGATGAATTGGACGAAATGATTGCTGAGATCGATACCGACGGCTCGGGAACTGTTGACTTTGACGGTCAGTAATGTTACGATTTCTATTCGGCCAAAATATTATTTATTTATTAAATAAATTGTTGATTAATTGTATACAAAAGATTAATAAATATCTCAAGTACCTTTACTACTGGCCTCTGATTTAGGTTAGTTATTGGCTTTGTGTTATAAAATGTTGTTTAAAAGTTTATATACTTATAAAACTTTGATAAAGACTTTGTTCACTAAAACTATTCATTGAATAATTGTTATCAATGTTATCAGACAATAACTTACTGACTGTGTATCTAAAAAAGTGAAAACAGATAAATACAGTTAAATCCTATTATATGTTACATTTTCTGAAACTTCACTAAAACTATTCATTGAATAATTGTTATCAATGTTATCAGACAATAACTTACTGACTGTGTATCTAAAAAAGTGAAAACAGATAAATACAGTTAAATCCTATTATATGTTACAATTTGTTTTAAATTATTTTCAGAACTCTAATTACATTTAATTGCTATAACCATTAATTCGTTTTTAAATGTTTATTGCGAATAACCATTGAAATTACAGACCAAAGAGATAAAATATTTCCATAAAAGGGCAATATTTAATTAAAAGTCTATTTATTTTATTGTTTTGATATTCAAATGAAATTAATTTTTTAAAATTTAAGAAAGAAATCATATAATGAAAGTTTGTGTCCGACGAATATTCCCTCAAATAAAATGCAATACTGTATACAGTATAAAGTACTGTACAGAGTACTGTACAGAGTACTGTATATAATACTCGAATACACATATTCTTGAGATTTAAATCTCAATTCATTAGCGCTAATTAATTAACAATAATATACAGTGCAACCTCTCATGGGGAAACTTCTCTTGGAGAACACCTCCTGATAAGGAACGGATTTGAAATATATTTTGGATTTTCTATACTTATAACTGAACCTCCTTTGGAGAAACGTTCTTTATAAGAAACACTTTGGATATGCATCTGCCCGTTTCCTATGGAGAGGTTGCACTGTATCTTAATTTATAATAATTTTATGGTAATATTTGTATAAATCAATATAGAATTTAATTAATCTTAAATGCTTACACAACATAATTCTTCAGGCTTTCGCACAGAATTTCAATTTTTATCAAATAATTAAAATAATGAATTATTTTATTTCTAAAAACAAAATCATAATTCTATATATTTAAGCTTTTCCTATAGACGAGAGAGAGAGAGAGAGAGAGAGAGAGAGAGAGAGAGAGAGAGAGAGAGAGANAAATGAAATATTTTCATTACTAATACAGTAATTAAAGAGAGAGAGAGAGAGAGAGAGAGATTCACTAGAGAAGCAGTATTTTCATCATAACTGGTACTCAAATCTCTAGTGTATTATAATTATAAAAGTGTTGAGTTTTTGCTCTTAATTAACTTCTATTAACAGTTTTATAAAAATCAATTAATTATTAAAAGATAAATATAGAGCTAATTATGAAGAATTAAAGTTTGAAGTGCTTATTAATAATGAGATGTATTATTATTTCAATTAATTAATAAGAAATGTGACAAATACTTCATTTGAGGGACTATTTTGTGCTACAGTCATGTCATCTCTAATATATAAAGCCTTTACTAAAACCTTGCTTTCATGAACACGAATGGGACGACCAGAATGTGACAGAATGTCCATATAATCTAACAAAACGCCTGTTCATTAAAATGTCATGTTTTACATCATATAATTGTACGCAAATGTGTTGCGATTGAAATCAATTAAACGAGTCGATTCACTTCAACCATCATCAATAAGTTCTGTGCATTTGTCTGAAAAATGAAATACACCATGCTCATTTCACAATTAATTTCAGTTTTTATAATGCAATTGAATGTAAAGCAAAAAGTTGTATTAAGTGAACAATCATTGATTTACTATAGATATGGTTGCAGTGATTATCAATGATATATCATTTCAAGTCAAAAGCAATTCAAATTAAACTCTTATGTAAACCTATATTGATGTGCAGTATTGCCCGTTACATGTCTTACATGTGTAGACATATTTACTTAACTACATTTATCATAAATGAGCATGGCATAATGTCATAGTCATTGTCATAAATTGAATCTAAAATGTTTGAATCATTGCACAGCTATAGTGCAGTATTTCAATACAGAATATTCATAACTAGTCTATAAAATAGCAGAATATAAATGAGTGAATGGTTTGAAAAGTGGACACAAAGTGGCGCTTATATTGACTGCGAAATGACTTGTGTTCAGTGTTTACACGTTATAACAGTTATAACACGTCTATTAGTGCTAACAGAAAGTGTGGATCCATTTAGTGATCATCTGGTGATTGAGTTGTTGACTACCATTGCATTGCTCACCTCTGGTCACCACAACAAGCCTTCCAAGCCTTTGACTCACTTGTGGTGATTGAGTGCTCACTCTTCACGACTCAATGCCTGAGAGGAATCGCACCCAAAGACGTGTTCAGCAAAGATCTGGGCTTTTGGACAATGAATCTCAAGAAGTGAACGGTTGGACATCGGATGAGATGAAGGGCAAAACGGGCTCAAAGAGAGGAGCGGCCGGTGACTACATGTCGATAGCGGTTCTGCTCTTCCTGTATGTACTACAGGGCATACCATTAGGTTTGGCGGCGAGTATTCCGATGATACTGACGAACCGGAAGGTGAGTTATGGCGATCAGGCGCTCTTCAGCTTCGTCTCGTGGCCCTTCTCTGTCAAACTGATTTGGGCGCCGATTGTGGACTCGTTGTACTGCTCGGCCTTCGGTCGCCGCAAGACATGGCTTATACCCACGCAATACGCGATCGCTATCTTCATGTTAGTCCTCTCCCAGACGGTGGACACACTTCTGGACAGCTCTGGTTTGGGACCCAATATCTATGTCTTGACGGCAGTGTTCTTTGCGCTCAACTTCTTGGCCGCCACTCAAGACATAGCTGTGGACGGATGGGCGCTAACTATGCTGTCGCGTGAGAACGTCGGCTATGCGTCCACTTGTAATACCGTCGGACAGACGGCCGGATATTTTTTGGGAAATGTTGTATTTCTGGCGTTAGAATCGGTCGACTTCTGCAACGGTTATCTCCGAAGCGAACCACAAACGTATGGTTTGGTCACACTTTCGGGCTTTTTCTACTTCTGGGGACTGGTATTCATGGTGTCGACAACACTCGTAATGATATTCAAACGCGAAACCAATGCTTTGCCCGAAAACGAGCCCCAAATGGGAGTGATTGAGACCTATTCAGTACTCTATCGTATCTTTCATTTGCCGTCCATTCGTTTGTTTGCATTGGTTTTGTTGACCTGTAAGATAGGGTTTGCGGTCACAGATTCGGCCACTGGTCTCAAACTCATCGAAGCCGGCGTTCACCGAGAAAACTTAGCTCTTCTGGCGATTCCTATGGTTCCGCTTCAGATCATATTACCCTGGATTATAAGCAAATACACTAATGGTCCGCAACCTCTCTCTATATTCCTTAAGGCATTTCCAATTAGGTTTGCGATCTATTGTCTCATTTTGAACACTATTTCATAAATGTATATTTACTATATTTATTGTATATTCACTGCATTTATAGGCTATTGTTTGGCGTTGTGTTCGCACTATTGCTTTGGTGGACAAAACATGTCAAACAGACCGACGGCTCATTCCCAGCCTATTATTACGGAGTGATTCTGTTTGCCTATGCGTTGCATCAAATCGCTCTCTACAGTATGTTTGTGGCACTCATGGCATTCCACGCCCGCATCAGTGACCCATCCATTGGTGGCACTTATATGACACTTCTCAACACTATCACCAATTTGGGCGGCAACTGGCCCTCCACTCTAGCCCTTTGGCTCATTGACCCCCTAACCAAAAAGACCTGTTCAGTGGGAGACACGAGTTGTAACGACTCGTTGACCGCCGAAGAATGTACGCTAAAGAATGGCTCGTGTGATGTCAGTGTTGACGGCTATTACGTGGAAGTAGTCCTTTGCGTTGTGATTGGATTAGTTTGGTATAAATGGGGCCGAAATAAGATACATTCCCTTCAGAGAAAACCATTGAGTTCTTGGAAATGCAGATAACGTTTGATAACATCTCATAAGAATAGCACAAATTGTGATACTATTTAAGACACTTGTCATGCATTTTGATAAACAGATTTGTTAAGCAATTTCAGACCATTTGTTAAGTTATTTTTGTATGTATTTTGTTTTAATATAACGATTTTTAAACAGATATTTAATTTTATTATTTAAACTATGTTTTGTGTCCGTGTATTGGAATTATAAATTATATATAAAAGTCATATTAATATTTATTTATTTCACTGAAAATTGACTTAATATATAAGACAATGAAAGAAATGGTCAAAAAATGGCAGTTATTTGTCATTCGCTCCCAATTGAGGCACAAGTATTAGAGACTCGACAGCAAGTTTTGAACACAAAGTCAGAAATGATTTCAGACTATTGGATATGATTTGACTATTAATGACAATTAGAAGCACTAATAAGAAGATATATTTTACAAAATGATAGATTTGTCTTTAAGATATGAAACCACTTGATGTGAGCCTAGAAAACGGAATCAAACCATCAATAGATTGTCATTAAATTAATAATAATAAAATGTATTACTCGTCACAATTGAGAACATTTTGAGTGCTCTTTGATTGGGTGACAATATTAAGCGCACCGGAAGTGCCGATCTCTATGTCGGAAATACAACCGACAAATCCAGTGAAACGATTGCCACTCATAAGAGTATATTCTGGAAGACCTCCGATATATATATCTCCGCTCGCATTCAACGATTGCAAACCTCCGGCCGATTCTCCATACATACTATGATTCTCATCGATTATAAGACTTCCCTCTTTGCCTTTCCGTTTAATAACGACTGTGTGTTTGTAGCCATCATTCACTTTAACCAAAGACCTAATCTTCGCTAAACCGCTGCCCAATTCAAAGCTGAATTCAACGTAACCGTCGATCACAGCGACGGCCATAAAGTCCTTTCCCACACCATTGGTGTCGGGTGTTTGGCCGTGAAAGAAGACCAGACCATCATCTTCTTGCGTCGATAGAGTTAACTTAATCACCTCATCCGCCAAACTCGATGAATGTGGTAACAAATGTGTACTTAGAGTCACGAAACCATTGCCCAGAAGTCGAATGGCTTCGGGATCAACGAATTCCAGTCGATCACTACATGTACTGCCTTTGAATCCAAGCGGACAAAGACATCTGAAGGACAGGGACTCCATGTTCTGACATTGAGCCCCATTTTTGCATGGATTGGTCAGTTCGCAGACACCGATCATTTGTTGGCAATTTTTTCCTGAATTGTTTAACGAATTATAAAATAATATAATTTGATTAAGTATTGAGTGAAATATCAAACCGGTATAGTTTTGTTGACAAATGCACTGGTAGTCTGTTTTGTCCATTTCTCGACACTGGCCTCCATTAAGACACGGCAAGCGCTGACACGACGACTCTGAGCCACAATCGGCCACATTTGCCGAATCGATGACAGAGTCTACTAAATTGGTTTGAATGCTATTCACTTCGATCTGATTTACAAGTAATTTTCGAAACCAATTTAATTTAGACAAGATTTTAATTATTAATTGTTTGACTCACATGTCCGACACATCCATAGAATCCATGCGATATTTCAGCCAACGGTGCGATTGTCACCTGTTGTTTGTCATAACCGCCAATATATAGGGGTAATCGTAAATTCAAGCCTCGCGTACGTCCCGGCGATTCGCCAAACACTGCCGGACTATTGCCGACTCTCAGCGAACCCTTTCGGAGGTCACGTTCGGCCAAAATAGTCACCCATTCGTTGTGTTCGAGTCGTTGTGTGGACTTGAGTACCGCCGGACCCGAACCCGTGTCGAATCGGAACTCAACGGTTCCGTTCTTAATGGCCAACGAAATGAAATCTCCGTTTCCGACATGATTTTGCGAGCTATACATAAGTAGGCCGTCATCTAATCGTTTTGGTTTTATCTTCATTTTAAGACTCATTTTATTGAGTGTGTCTTTTGGTGTCGGGTATGCGATATAAGCGTCGTTATAGAGGGCCGGCTCTACAATCACGATATCCTTTTCACATTTGAGGCCACTCTTACCGAACGGACAAAAGCAGTCAAATCCGCCGTTATTTCTGTTGACACAACGGCCGGAACCGCAAACACCTGGAAAGCAGGCGTCGCCTATTTTCTCGCAGTTATGGCCCGAGAATCCGGCGGAACAAACACAGGTATAGCCCGACACCTTCAGCGATGTCTCCTGACACACACCCTCATTGGCACAGGTATTCATTGTACACGTCTCGCAATTTCTGACCGAATGGGCCTCCGCTTCGTTGATCAACTCATGGGTAACGGTTCCCACTTTGAATAGACTGATGCAACCGACGAATCCCTTATTGAATCCGTTTTGCTTAGATATCTGTGAGAAATCGGGAACTCCTCCGATATATAATGGCTCGAGAAGGTCGAGACCAATCTTGTCTCCCGGAGCCGAGCCTTTTATGACCATTTGGTCGTCTACTTCTAAAACGCCGTTCTTCTCATTGCGGCTGAACTTCACTTTATGCCATCTCTTCATCTCAATTGGTTTTTCACTGATAAGAAGCGCAGTTCCGGCGCCCAAATCATACCTAAGCTCTACCCGACCATCGGTTAGTCCAAGTGATATGAAATCTCCAGAACTCTGCTTTTGTCCGTTATATAGAATCAGTCCATTGGGGTCTTCGGGTCGGAATGAAATCTGAACATCAAATGTGAGATAAGCATCGGGTAGTGTCGGTCGGACCATATATGACAGTGGGGTCTGTGAAAAGTGTGGCACCACTCCTGTCACCACTAGAATAGTTGGCACATCAATGGTCTGGTCATTGTTTTTAGCCGTACAGATGTATGTGCCTACAAATGAATGGACAAATCATTTAGTTATACGAATAGAGGATTTGAATGTTAAAAAGACAGACCAGAGTCTTGTCCCTTAACACTACGAAGTGTTAGGACTCCCTCTTCATCGACATTAGATTCTTGAGGAAGAACTCCTCCCTGTTTGGCCCAACTGTACGCAATCGGGTGTTCGAGTGGTGTCTGACAGTCCACCACTACAGTTGATCCGAAAGGTGCAGATCTTTTCACCACTGCTTCCGGAGCAATGGTAGGCATTTCTGATTCACACAATTGTTTGCATTTAATTTAATTTTATAAACTTATATAAACTTTGAATTAATTCATTAATAACTCACATATAAATCCAATGAAAGTCAGAAATAACAATATAATAATAAGTTATATACGAATCAACACATGCTTACAGTTAACGACAATATAAAGAATATAAAGAAAGTAATCATCCTTACCCTCTATGGCCAACACATAATCACTATTATGAGTGCCCGCATAGGTATCAACAGTGCATCTAATTTGAAATCATTTTATAAGTAAGAATAATATGATTTTTTAAAATTTAAACAATATATATATACCTATAAATGCCTCCATTTTCTGCTTTGATTCCGTTAATCATTAAAACTGATCCCCGAATAGCAATATTAGAAGCAAAGGGTCCGCTTTGGCTCAATGCCGTCCACTCAACCCGTGCCGTCGGGTCACCCGATACTAGACATTGAAGACTTAATTGATCGCCCAAATGGATCCGTTCTTTGCTCGCCATTATTTTCACTTCCAGTGAAGGAATTACTGAAACAAATCGATAAATCTTAACCATTGATCATAACAAATATAATAGTGTGTGAAACTGGTGTTAAAAAGATTAAGATAAAGAATTTAATCCAACAAATGAAATAATAGTGAAATATAAAAATAATAGTAAAACAATATTCAATACCGCACTTGAATTCATCTGAAAGATCAGGACAATCATACTTTTGATTACAACGATAACTAATATCAATACAATTTCCGTCATCACATCTGAATTGGTTTTGATCGCATTGTTTTTCTGATCAAAAATGCATTTTAAAATGGTTTAAAAATAACTGAACGATTGTATGCATACATGCAATAAATTACAGAACAGATTGTTTAAGTGAATTGTGTTTTAAACATCATATTTTTCAATGTAAATGAAAGATAAGAATAAGGTCCAAACCTCTGACATTGAGCATCACATAATCCCGTGATAATAACATGCCATTACTGGCGGTGGCCGTACAGACCTGTCCATACAATCAATGGTTAAACCAATTGTCCGAAAAAAGATAGTAAAAGACTTACATATTGTCCGGCGTTTTCTAATCTAATGTTTCGGATCCATAACTCGTTGTTTACTTCTCTCGCATTGTCGAGAAGACCGACAGTATCTTTGGACCAACTTATGGTCGGCGACGGAGAGCCACCGAATTGACACTTGAGCTCAATATTAGAGCCAACAAATGCTGTCTCTTCTTTGCGCACAATATCCACATAATCCGAGTCTTCGATAATCACTTCAGCGGTTCCCTCAGTCTTCCCGCCGGCGTTCACAGCTGTACACAAATATCTTCCGGCGTCTGACAACTGGATTCCTCGCAATTCAAGTCTTCCGCTGTGAGGGAACACACCGGGAGGTAAGGCTCCCCCTATTCTACTCCAGTCTATAGTGATTGGCTGATCGCCGGATGCGCTGCAATCAATAGTCACCGAATCGCCCGGTTTGGCCTTCTGTCGGGTCGGCTGTAACTGTATTCTTGGAGGCGCTGTTTGTGATCACATGTTAAACAATAATCAGAATTTTGAGAGAGAGAGAGAGAGAGAGAGAGAGAGAGAGAGTTAACACAGCTCTATGTGTATCGATTACCTCCACAATTGCTTTCGTCGCTGTTATCAAAGCAATTGGCGATTCCGTTACAGACAAGAGAGAGAGAGAGAGAGAGAGAGAGAGAGAGGTTATGGGAGCAAAGAATGTTAGTATTAAAAGCCTTACCTCTGGCCCAAATACCTTGCGGTAAGCAATGCAAGTAGTATTATAATGAGTGAAGATAGCAATAGGACAATGACGGCGCTTTCAATCAACTTACCGACAACTGCTAACCGGGCTCTGGCCTCAAACAACACTGTCTTTCCGTCTACAACTCCCAGACACTGGTATTCGCCGCTGTCCTGCGGTTTCACGTCATCGATATTTAAGACTCCATTCTCTACTCTCGAAGATGTGGGAAGTGATTGATTTCCGGCTCGAATCCAACTTAATTCAACCGGACGTGTAGTCCCTCTAACAAAGCATCTAAGAGTAGCCCTTTTGCCGGCGGCAACGGTTACCACTCGATCCTCAACTACGATATGCGGCACAACTGTTCCCATTAAGTCGTCCTCAACTATTAGATGAATGCGCTCTTCAATGGTGCCAAACGGCGAAGTACTGGTGCACTAATGCGCAGACAAGCAATGGCTTTGTACAAATCAACGATAATTCAATGCAAGACATACCACATATACTCCGGAGTCAGAAGCGGTCACATTTGATATTTCTATGACGGCTCTGCCCTCACTCTCAGTGCCGGCGACCAGAATTGGGGCTCCAGAATGCAGTTGATGTGATACTCGCCTCCAAATTAAATTTGATGTCTGATCTCCGTTTGCCTCGCATTCGAGCCTCACTTTCTCATTGGGCCGAACCCTATAGGGACTCGACTGTAGAATCTTAACAGTGGGCGCGCCCTGTATTCTGAGCACTGCCTGTGCTGTTACTCTTCCGGCTATATTTTCGGCCTAATTTTAAAGCATTGTTTATTAGCTAAACAGTGACTAAATGTTTATCCATATATTAAACAATTGACATACAGTGCAGATGTAGGCGCCGTCTTCATCGCCGGTCACTCTATTGAATCTGAGGACACCATCGAGTAGTTCAGTGCTGGGAGTGAATAAACTTCCATCGCTTCGGCGCCACTCGACGGTAGGAGTCGGGACACCAGATGTAACCCGACATTGAAATAATGCGCTTTAAATGCAATTTTTATCATTAGTTTTACAGAAATAGTTGTTATCATAATTGTAAGCAAAACGCAAACCTTCCGCCCCTAACAACTGTTTGTGACGATTCCGGGTATATTTGAATGGCGGGTATTTCTCTCCTTTCAATCTCGACAATCGCAGAGCTTTGTGCCGATCCCTCCCTATTGTCAGCTCTGCACACATATAGACCCCTGTCTTCAATCACTGCATTCTCAATGAACAATAGCTCGCCGTTTGTTTTATGTCTTAAGGGCACTAAATCCTCGCCGATCTTCTGCCAGCTAATAGTGGGCACAGGGTTTCCACTGACCACACATCTCAGCTCTCCGTTGTGTCCCTGAACTATGGTCTGTCTTTCGGGCTCTATTCTCACCGTAGGTATAGCTCGTCCCGATTCGATGGACAGACGCGCCTGTCCTTGGGTTGTGCCGTAAGTGTTACGAGCGGTACAGGTATACAATCCCTGGTGAGTCTCAGTAATTCTGGTCAATATAAGCAGACCTCCAATTTGTCGCGAATCGTTGGGCAATTCTCCGCCCGAATAACTCCATATCAGATCAGGCGCTGGACTTCCTGTGACTTTGCAGTCAAATTTCACAGTCTCTCCACGTCTGGCCTCGTAATTGACGGGCGATATAGTGACGTGAGGTTTGGCGCTGACGTCCGGTCTGTCCTCTCCTCTGACGAACAGAATAGTCCTCAAAGAGTCAGAACCGGCAGAATTGGTCGCGTGACACATGTATTCAGACTCATCACTCTTTCGCACCGATTCTATGCGAAACACACCGTTAATAAGGGTTGCGCTCGGATTCATGACATTATTGCGGCCACCCGTCCACCGCAGCTCCGGCGGTGGGTAACCCTCAGCCGTGCACTTAAACTCCATGGTATCGCCAACTTTTACTTCTTGATAATAGGGCTCAATCCTTCGCTCGGATTCATGACATTATTGCGGCCACCCGTCCACCGCAGCTCCGGCGGTGGGTAACCCTCAGCCGTGCACTTAAACTCCATGGTATCGCCAACTTTTACTTCTTGATAATAGGGCTCAATCCTGACGCGAGGGACCGCCGGTTGATCACTGGTCTCAACGATTAGCGTTGAGTGATCCTGAGCTACACTTTGTAAGTCAGAACCCGTGCAGATATATATCCCGCTGTGCTCTGGCTTGACGTCCGGAATCGTAAGTATACCACTCGCTTCTGATGCTCGCGATGGCAGTGATCCGCTCTCTTTAGTCCAAACCAAGTTATAAGTAATCTGTAGATTACATTCAATTCACTTAAAATCCATACAACACTTGATATGAGTGTAATATTCATTTACATCACTTATTTGTGAGACACCATTGCATCTGAATGTGACCACCGAACCAATCGGCACTCGTTGTACTTTTGGCTCATCAATACGGACACGAATGGTGGGTCCGGAACCAGATATTAACTCACATTTACCTCCTGGTTGTAATGGATTCCCCCGATAACCAAAAGCGCACCTAAAATCCAAATAAATGTGATTATGATATATAATTTGGATACTAATGACTCACTGTTCGCAGTTTCTGCCGGAATATCCAGTGGCGCAGGCATTACAAGTTGGCTGACCGTCAGAATCGAGTCTCGCTCGGATTCATGACATTATTGCGGCCACCCGTCCACCGCAGCTCCGGCGGTGGGTAACCCTCAGCCGTGCACTTAAACTCCATGGTATCGCCAACTTTTACTTCTTGATAATAGGGCTCAATCCTAACGCGAGGGACCGCCGGCTGATCACTGGTCTCAACGATTAGCGTTGAGTGATCCTGAGCTACACTTTGTAAGTCAGAACCCGTGCAGATATATATCCCGCTGTGCTCTGGCTTTACGTCCGGAATCGTAAGTATACCACTCGCTTCTGATGCTCGCGATGGCAGTGATCCGCTCTCTTTAGTCCAAACCAAGTTATAAGTAATCTGTAGATTACATTCAATTCACTTAAAATGCATACAACACTTAATATGAGTGTAATATTAATTTACATCACTTATTTGTGAGACACCATTGCATCTGAATGTGACCACCGAACCAATCGGCACTCGTTGTACTTTTGGCTCATCAATACGGACACGAATAGTGGGTCCGGAACCAGATATTAACTCACATTTACCTCCTGGTTGTAATGGATTACCCCGATAACCAAAAGCACACCTAAAATCCAAATAAATGTGATTATGATATATAATTTGGATACTAATGACTCACTGTTCGCAGTTTCTGCCGGAATATCCAGTGGCGCAGGCATTACAAGTTGGCTGACCGTCAGAATCGAGTCGACAACTCGGTGAAAAGCTATTTTGCAAACTCACGAGAGGACACCGACACCGCATACAGTCGTCCGGTGAGCCGCGGCTCGCGTCCCCGTAATAGCCTTCCGCACAAACTTCACAATTCTCTCCGCGAGTGTTGTGACGACAGTTCTGGTCATAAAATGTTTTGATTTATAAATTACCGGTAATACATGTATATTGCAAGCAATACATGATTTTTAATTTAATACATACAACACAATAGCCAGTGTTTGGATCGCAAGTTTCTGAATGTGAGTTACAGTTACAGCGCGTACAGCGACCATAGCCTGGACTCGTTGTGTCTTTGATATAACCCGGTGCACAACTTTCACACGACAAACCCGAATAGCCTAAGTTGTTAATTAACATATATGTAATTCAATGTACAGGTAATATAAAATGTATATTTACCAGGTGGACACACGCATTGCTCAACCTGTAATCATAGTTTTTGTTGTTAAACATGTAAGATGATTTATATAAAATAATACACAGACCTCAACGGCTAATTGTAAGCCAGTGTTTTGAGGGACAGCCGTATCTAATGTTATGTCAGCGATAATAGTCTGTTGCATATGTGGATGAAATGTGGCTCTAATGAGAAATTCCTCAATATTAGAGAAAACGAGTAAAAAATCTTCTCTATTGGCGAGAACTGAAGCCTTTTGTCGATTGGAATCAATCCTTTGCCAAATTCCTTCTTTTAATTCAATATCATAGGTCTGGAGATCGCCTTCAGATAAGCCTTTGTTCTTCACGTACAGTAATGTCACACCATTTCCCTATTGTTATGATATTCGGCATTATTTTGCGCAGACAATTAAATATAACTATAATTTACAGTAATCTCAATGTCAGCGTCAGAGTATAGTTCACCCGCTCCTCGAACTGTGTATTGTTGGGTATAGTGAAGGCGACCGCCATATGATGTTAGCTAAAGACAATTCAATTCGTACAATCAAATGAGAGAGAGAGAGAGAGAGAGAGAGAGAGAGAGAGAGNAGAGAGAGAGAGAGAGAGAGAGAGAGAGAGAGAGAGAGAGAGAGAGAGAGAGAGAGATTATTTCATACCTTATTGCCCAAGAAGTTTTCAGGTAAGGCCCAAAACAAAGTCTCCGAATGCGGAGAGTCTCTCGTAAAAGAGGCAAAACTAACTTCGTTTTGAGTCGGGTTTACAATAATTCCTTCTGAAAATATTCTGGAATTATATCGATTTGTAAGTTGAAAGTTGTGTTCATAAGGATTGGTTAAGTCCTGTAAACGCATTGTGATTTGATGTCTAAAGTATGAACTACTACTACATCTTCGGGTCACTCCCGAGCAGTAGCATTGAGTACAACCGCCGGGGTTTCGCTCATCCAAATTGTAGTAACCGTCTGAACACTGATCGCAATTAATGCCCCGAACATTGGATTTACACAAACAATTCTGATTCAAATCGCATTCGTTTGAAACACTTCCCCGACCATCGCATTGACACGGAGTCACCACTAATGTCATTACAATTACCATTATATCTATCATTTTACAAATTTATCACATTATATTTCATACCTCTATCCGGACTACAATCGTAAGGCGTGCCCCGAGTCGGGTCACCCGCATAGCCAGGGGTACAAGAATCACAAAAATCTCCCCGAGTATTGTGTTGACAATTCTGTTATTAATAAATTTGTTACAATCAATATTTATGACAACAATATTTGAAATGTACAATACTTTGCAAATTCCAGTTTTGGGGTCGCAATCACTGGAGTGGCCGTTACAGAAACACGGCTCACAAAGACCCAGATATGATCCGATTGCTGTTCGCGTGTAACCGGCTATACATTGCTCGCACGACAGGCCCTTAATTTATGCATAACCTCTTATTAATGAATATTAAGAGCGATAAACGGATCAAATACCTGATAACCAATAGGACAGCGACAGATCTCCACAGAAGAGGCCGCTTGTGATAATCCCACGGCTCGGGACGACCTCTCTATGGCTGTGTCGAGAGTAACCCCTAATAAACTAACAGCTATGACATCGTATGAATGCGTTGCCTTCAAAAGCAACGAATCGATTGCCGCTAAAACAGACATAAACTTCTCACGACTGACTCGCTGTCCATCAGATGAAAGCCATTGATTTTCGTAGAGAGGAATTGATAGAAAATTGTTCACTCCTGACATCAATGCTTTGTCTGTTTTATAAATTATTTTGAATCCATTTCCGCTGATCTGTACGTCTGGATCATCGTTAGGACGCGATAGAAAACCGCTCTCATATCTGATTTAAATATTGTGTTATAATGTAATTATAATTCATATTATGCACATTTGAAACAAACAAATTATCCTAAAATTCCACATTTAACCGCAATATGAAGGTGAAATTAAATTAGTACAAGTCTATAAGTCAGCTAAAGCAGTACCTATGTATCAATTTCAATAATGTGACTCAAGTCATTCATTCAATGATTATAAACTTATGATTTATACTGATTTAACTTCAAAACACACATAACTCTTATATACAATTATTCTATGTACTTTAAGCTTTATAATAGAGAATTGATAGCATACTATTCAAGTCATTCATTCAATGATTATAAACTTATGATTTATACTGATTTAACTTCAAAACACACATAACTCTTATATACAATTATTCTATGTATTTTAGGCCTTATAATAGAGAATTGAAAGCATACTATCTAATTATAAAATTGTTGACAAACCTAAAGGAATAGTTAAGATTTCCGCCATAAGAGACAATCTTATTGTCGAGAAAATCTTTGGGAAGATTCCAATAAAATGTCATTTTTGGTTGAAGTGAGAAATCTCTGTAAACTATTTGATGACTTCGATAATCGATTCGTAGGTTTTTATCAATATTGAGAGTCATGTCTAAAGTGCTCAGTTTGACTATATTTGGATCGTTAGAAAACTTCAATTCAATGTGATCTCTGATCCAATCGCTCGCAACACAGGCTTTGGTGACACCGAAACAGAAACAATCGATACATCCATTCGGCGATTCATTGCTTAAATGAAATGAATTAGCGCTGCATTGATCACAACGAGCGCCCGTCACTAATGGCTTGCAATGACACAAACCCGTTGAGGGACTCGGAGATGATGTTAAGCTACCAATTGGGTCGCAATGAGTGTCCGCACCTGTAATTCACAGCACAGTCTTATTCAATGCTCTTATCATATTGTCATTAACACAGCTCTATGTGTATCGATTACCTCCACAATTGCTTTCGTCGCTGTTATCAAAGCAATTGGCGATTCCGTTACAGACAAGAGATCGTTCAATACATCCGCCGTCGAAACACCGAAACTTATTGGGCGAACAGTCTATTCATTAAAGTTTGAATTAGTGGCGATTAAAGTGAAGGAAATCATAGATATGTTGCCAATACTGACCGCAACCAACTTCATCATTGCCTTCAGGCATACAATCGTAAACATTATTACAGCGCAATCTTATGTCAATACACGTGCCGTTTCCACAACGGAATTGGTCTGAATGACAGACACCACTCACTGCAGACCAGATTCAATAATTATATCACTTTAATATAGTTTTGCTATAATTATTTCAAAGCAAACCTTTTGGTTCACAGGGCTCTCCTTCCACGGGATTGCCGACATATCCGGGGGCACAGCTCTCGCATCGATTTCCCTGGTTTTACAATAGCTTTACTCAATACTAATTATCATTATTTTTTATTTCAACCACAATTCAGGTATGAATAATGTGGTTTATAGAATCATTCGGCTCATTCAACTTAAGAATCTTAAGACTTGAAATTTGTTTACTTAAATAGTCAGTAATTTATACCTCAAACCCAAGCGGACACGAGTCGCAAATGACATCCCCTTCCCTATCATCCATATAACAAGTCGGGGAATACCTGTAAATATTGAATTTTAAATTGTAATAATTATTACACTTCTGTTGTGATTATAAATCGTGCAATTATAAGCAGTTGTTAGTAATGAGTAGTTAGCCTACCATTCCTGTGGAAAGCCTGACGACCAGAGGGTATTCAGACTTGTTTTAAGTAAAGAAAGCGATAATTGTTATAGAATTGCGTGAAATAAGCGAAAGGTTATTATAGTTAGAGCTTATTGTCTCGAAATATTGATAAACTCACTGATGAGATGGTGTGATGTGAGGACAAGGACAGGCGCGACAACTATCATCCCTTCCCAGAGTGGCCAACCCATAGAACCCTCGTTTACATCGTTCGCATTGAGCCCCTAATGCAATGAATTTGCAATTAAAACTAGTACTCACTTAAAAGAGCGAATAATTAATTGCGTCAACAATACCTTCAGTATTGTGTTGACAGTTATAGCATTGGTTTGTCCGGCGGTCGCAATCGTTTGAATGATGATTACAATTACAAGCAATGGTTGGGATAACACAACGACCTAAATAACGGCCCGACATTTCCCGGACATATCCAGGAGTACAATATTCACACGACGAACCTATTCGGTAGTTATCAATACACGGTTTGAGTCAAATCTAGTTGTGTTTATGGATTGCGATAGATATACCGGTATATCCTTCGGGACAGAAACACTTCTCGACCAAAACTGCTAATTCAGATGAGGTGAATCACTCATGAGGCCACAGATAAAGTTGTAAATTTTACGATCTTAGCTACTAGACGAGCAGTATTCACCGGAAATATATCTACATAAGCTGTAAGACCTCTCGTTAGTATTACAGAAGTGCTCACCTGGCGTCAAACAGTGGGGGACTTCTGGCACTCAAGTCATTCTTATGCCACTCTCCCTCCCAGAAGCGTATTTTGATGTTTGTGTCGGTCTTTGTATTGTATCCCTCGTTAAAGTAATGATACAAATGAATGCCATTTCCTTTTAATATAACGTCAGGAATTTTGGGTGCTTTCGGCAAATAAGGCTCTCTGTATCTGATTGTGTAGCGAATATATCCGCCATAACTTCCGAGTCTATTACCCAATACTTCGGAGGGAAGGTTCCAATAGAAGAAGACCCCATCGGGTGTTGTGGCCGGCATTACATCTGACTTAATGCTATATTCTTTAGCGTTTGCATTGAATGAAACGGCATTTTGATTGGGCGGGTATTGACGGCTCACATCAGTATAACTGGCGTTCGCCTCACGAATCAGAGGAATAACCGAAAGCTTTGATTCAACGCTCAAACTGACGACACGAAGACTACTGCTGTGACACGTCTCAGACACTCCGAAACAGAAACATCTCAAACATTGCGATGGATTTTGGGCCAAATCATTGAATACCGGCGACTGACACATACCGTGTTTGGCTATTCGTCCACATGATAACACAATATAAGAGTTAGTTTGCAATAAACACTTTGCAAATGACATACGTTTGACGACAAGTAGGGCGTCGTGTGAGGCGAGAACGGAATCCTTGCTGTTGATGGCTTCGCAACTCCAGGCCCCCTGATCTGACACTTTGGCCTCACGTATAGTAACGGTGCCGAAGCCCTCAGCACTGGTGACCGTCACTCGTGGCGGGTGTGGGATATGATTCCAATTCAATCGCCAACTAATCAATGGAGTCGGTGTTCCCACCGCTCGGCAGCTTATGTTAATTGTCTGGCCTTCGGTCACAGAAACAGTTTCCGGCGGAGGAATCACAACAGTAGGCGCCGAACAACCGATCTTTTTATAACACAAATCGCGCATTCAATTCAAATTCATTTATTTGTGTCCCTATTATATGAATACCTCATCGGTTTTGTCCTGACAGTCAAACTCTCCATCGCATTGATAGCTTCGAGGTATGCCTATTAAGTTAGTAAAGATTAAGCTAAATCTATGCAACTGTAATAATAATTCTATTATCTAATCAAAAAACTATGAGTTTAATAGTTATTAGTGATTTTTGAGTAATCATGGTATCAAAAATTGGTGTTAAGTCGTACTTATTACACCAGATATCTTTGCAAGCCGGGGAATTTTATGAAACTATTGTTGTCTCTTTTAATATTTTTATGATTTTAACATGTAACATTTAAGTTGTCAATACATTACAATTTAAAAATTTTAAAAATATGATATACATGTATATATCTCAAAATCTTGAGATTTTTCAAATAGTAAAGTTAGTTTCATCACTTTGATTGCAAATCTTGTTTAGAATAGATTTACATTAATATAATTTTAAATTTCTAACCGCTTATAACCAATAAAACTAATATTTAAGACTTACATTGATCTCCAGTAATGCATTTGTATTCATCGTAACGACATGGAGATCCCGGAGCATCCGGTTCTTTAGCCAATGAAATGCAAATGAAAACACAAATATATATTAATTTAATATTCATTTGTCATAGAATTAAATGTAAAACAAATCTATATATGAATGTTAGGCATGTTTTCTACTTTTTTAAAAACAAAATACAATAATAGGAAGACTTTTGAAAGATTGGAGGGAAGAGGAGATTACGAGCATTGAAGCCAATGGCGATAAACTAACCGCAAAACTTTTCGTCGCTGTTATCTTCGCAATCGTTATCTAGTTTTTAACCACAATTCAGCATGAATAATGTGGTCTATAGAAACGTTCGGCCCCTTAAAATACTTTGATAACAACAGAGAAAATTATAAAAATACTAAAATTGTACATTGTAAATTCAACAGTTATAATAATTGAAATTTTTAAAATATGATTTATGTATCTCAAAAGTTAGTTTCATCGCTTTGATTACAAATCTTGTTTAGAATAGATTTACATTAATATAATTTTAAATTTCTAAGCTTATAACCAATAAAACTAATATTTAAGACTTACATTGATCTCCAGTAATGCATTTGTATTCATCGTAACGACATGGAGATCCCGGTGCATCCGGTTCTTTAGCCAATGAAATGCAAATAAAAACACAAATATATATTAATTTAATATTCATTTGTCATAGATTTAAATGTAAAACAAATCTATATAAGAATGTTAGGCATGTTTTCTACTTTTTTAAAACAAAATACAATAATAGGAAGACTTTTGAAAGATTGGAGGGAAGAGGAGATTACGAGCATTGAAGCCAATGGCGATAAACTAACCGCAAAACTTTTCGTCGCTGTTATCTTCGCAATCGTTATCGGAATCGCAGCTAAAGGTTAACACCTTTTAAGTAAACAATAGCTTTATTTGCCATAAAACTCACCGCCAGATCTTGAGTATACAGCGATTGTTTTCGCACTGGAATTGGTTTGGTTCACAATAATGGATACAATTTAATTCATCGCTTCTGTCCACGCAATCAAAGTCACCGTCACTATAATCACACAATCGTTGGACATATTTTTGACAATTATATCAAATTAAATGCTAACAAACCAAACATATTCCCGGGAAATACATTCGCCGCTCTGACACGTGGCCTCAGTCTTGGAACAAACTCCTGTTCCACCCGTTTTAGGCATTGATTTTGTTGGTTTTGCAGGCATTACAGTGATTGGCAGTGGAGGCGGTGTAACAAAGTTTCCAACATTATCTGAATGACAATTTTAAAATTTAATTTTGACTCAAATCTTAAAACTAATTTATTATTCAAAATTTGAGTATCAAAATTAGATAAAGCAATTCCAACTAATCTTAAATATACTATAAATATACTAGACACTATTAGAAATAATTTGCTATGCTATTTAATTAAAAGTAGTCACACTTACGGTTAGATTTGCAGAATTCGCACAATAAAAGCGTTAAAAATAATAAAATTAAATTTAGTAAAGATTTCATTATTTGCATTAATAATATGAGGAATATATTAGTAAATAGAAAATTGTTTTTATAGTAAAATTCAATATTTTAAGAAAAAGCCAAACAATTAAAATTTAAGAAAATGAATATATTTTCTTAATTCTAAATATCTTAGAAGTAATGGCATTGAAAGTTAATGTATACTTAAACTATATTAATAGATATACAATTGAATTTTGTTTTATATACAAAGTTGAGGTATTTTTACAAATAGAGATGATTGGAAAGGATTTGTTTGGCTTTCCCTTCAGTTCCTATTATAGACACATTTAAAGTATACATCAAATAGTTATACCTTCGAGAGTGTTGTCATTTTGCGGTAAATAATATATCAAATTCTCATAAGAAAGCGCTAAAAGAGTTAATTCTATTAATTAGTAAAGCATTTAGAAAAGCAATTAACAAATGAAATGTTATTAATTTAGTGTAAAAGCAGTTTTATTTGGATTTTATAATAAATTGCAAAAATGTCTTTTATGAATATTCTGTGCAATTATGGAATTGTTTGAATGAATTAAGATTTATTTGAAAACAAATGAAAATTCATTGCGAGTACTGTTCATAAGTACGTACTTTTAAAATTGAGTTAGGTTTAATTTTTATATAATAATTCACTAACGGTAGACCATGAATATTCTATTATCAATATACAGTATATC